ATTTAAAGGGTAGGAATTTAACTGAACACCTGCTTTGTCTGCTTTATTGGAGCTATTCTGAAGTGAGTCGGTTTTGTTTTTGTTTTTTTGAGAGCTGACTAAGTAAGAGCAGTTTGGGCACTATCTCAGCGGCACCATACCTGGTTTCTACCTTACTCCCAGTCCCACCCTCAAGAGACACAGATATTTTTATCCTGTATCATTTTTGGCCATCGTTGAAGACAGCGTGCTTCTCGGGGTCAGACCTCTCTCTTGAACTACTCTCCTACGGGTCCCCTGCGGGTCAGGACCACCTTAGGACAACAGAAGCTTTTCAGTCCCCCCCCCCCCCCCCACACACATCTACCTGACTCCGGGCCAATGTACTTACAACCTGGCTTAGCCTATTTCCCAGTTCAGCTATCCCAGCCTTCTAACCCATGCACAAAATTGACTTGTGGTCGCTCGGTAAGTACCAAACACCAGGAAACCGGAGTTCGGCATCTTAGAGCGGGACCGAAATTCTGTGGATCTACTGGAGGACAATTCCATTTACTTAACTTCCAAGTAGCCTCTGTTATCCATAGTTCTGAGTTCTATAAAGAGGAAATAAAACATGCCCTCTCTGAGGCTCGAACTCAGGACCTTCAGATTATGAGACTGACGCGCTGCCTACTGCGCTAAGAGGGCGTCTACAGTTTGCACTTGGTTATATCTTACAGGACGGATTCAGTGTCTTCTGTTCGGCGTCTGTTCCCAGCGTCAGCCCTCGAATCTGAGCATTTCGAAGTGTTGTGGTTTAAGGTGGGGATATTTTCAAGAGAACCAACACGAACTCTCTTAGCCCTGGGTTCTTGGAGAGCCTCACAGGCCCTGAAACCATGATGCAGGGCTGAACAAGGGGTGCCTAGTCTCTTCTACTTGACATATTACTTTGTTACTTCATTGTTCTCAGTCTTGTTCCCTCTGGGATTCAACCCTACCCTGCCGTAACATTGCCTGTCACCGAATACGTAAAAGTAGAAACAGCTCACATAAAATTCTGGGGGACAGGTGTGCAGGGCCGGCCGTTCATGCAAACTTGCAGGTCTAACCATTTTGTCCTGGATAAGCTCACAAAAATGTCACACAATGAGTCTAGTGTGGCGTCTCTTGTTGGTTTTGTTCCTTCTTTTCCACCTCCGTGACCCTCACATCTATTAATTATCTTACTGACATTATTTCACTCAACCTATTTTTTCATAAGCCTGTTTATCATTATTCTAATCTTACTGAGAAAGCTGGGGCTCAGTAGAACGAATCACGGCCTGGTGATTGACAAAACCAGACAAGAAACAAATCAGGGCTCAGCTTTATTTTTTTTTTTTTTAATTTCATACAGGTTGTCCTAGTTAGGGTTATCTCTGCTGTGAGGAAACATCTTGACCAAAGCAACTTTGGCGGGAAGAGTTTATGCTTTCACATCACTGTTCATCAGCAAAGGAAGTCAGGAAAGAACTGAAGCAGGGCAGAAACCTGGAGGCAGGGGCTGATGCAGAGGCCATGGAGGAGTGCTGCTTACTGGCTTGATCCCCAGGGCTTCCTTAGCTTGTTTTCTAATAGAACCTAGGATTGCCTGCCCTGGAGTAACCCCACCCACAATGTGCTGAGCTCTTTACCCCAGCAGTCACTAATTTAAAAATGCTCTACAGGCTTGCCTACAGCCTGATTTTATGGAGATATTTTCTGAACTGAGGTTCCTTCCTCTCCAACGACTCTAGCTTGTGTCAAGGTGACATAATCCAGCCAGCTTACAATGTACTTTCATTATATTCCCTGCCCATTCTTTCTTTCCTCCTTTCCCTGCCACAAATCTCACTCCTAATCCCATGAGTTCATGAAAGTGACACTCAATCGTTGTCGTTTTCCAGGAGAAAAACTTCTGTTCGTGTGTCAACATAGATCCAAAAGACCTCCCAGAGCAAAGAAAAACAAAAACCACGTGGCAGATCCACACTGCTTGACCTAGAGGCCAGTTGCCTCCTCCTCCCCTGTCTCTACTTGTCTTTTACTAGGCCTCATACTCTGCCTAGAACTCCACACAGTTTGTCAACAGTCAAGGGCCAAGGTAGTAGAGAAGTGCGGAGCTCAGTGGCTTGCAAAGCTGTTTCTCACCAAAGCTGAAACAGTCATTTTCTCTGATCATAGCTAACATCACGGTAGGGGCTTTATCAAGATTTATGAAATAGCAAAGTCAGTCTGGTCTACATAGCAAGCTCCAAGATAGCCAGGATGACAGAAAGACCCAATATTAAGTAAAACACACCAAAAAGGATTTGTGGGATGAAGAAATGCTAGCCAGGTAATTTAGAAACTATGAAAGGGAATGCAGTTTTAGAAGACCAAAATAGGTGGAGAGAGCCAGGGTCTGAAATACTGTTGTCTGAGAAAGAAATGTTACTAGGGAAGAATGACAGTGCATTGTCCTCAGAGTGACAGGAGCCAGTGCCTTCCACTAAATGTTAGTGTCTGGGGAGCAGGGATCAGTCTGTTTGCTAAAAGGGGGGAAAGAATTACTGTGTGGACTCACTGAATTAATAGACTGTGTCTTCTATTATGAGTCCCCTCCCACAGTTGAGAAGAGTCAATCAACTGCATGAGATAGGATGAGGAAAGACACAGGTGTTAATGGCAGGGCCAAGAGCCGCCTGCAGGAGCTCCTGAAGCAAGCCAGCCCTTATGAACACCCAAGACCCTCTGCAGCACACTGGCTGTGTTACGGATAAGTGGCCTAAGTCACACGGCTCGTGGTTAAGTCAGAATCTCATGCAGTTTCTTAGAACAGGGAACAATGTTATAATTGTGAAACTGCACTGTAGAGGTGGTTACGAGCACATATGTCTCTTGCAGAGGAACAGATTTTGACTCCAGGCACCCAGTCAGGGCAATCCAATATCCCCTTTGGCCTCCTTATGCATTTGCACTCACATGTATACAGATACACATAATATCTGTAAAATTTTAAATGAATAAAATAACATATGTACACACATTAAATGTATTGTTTGTATACATATATATTATATATATATATATATCAAAAAAGCAAACAAAACTTACATGTATGATATATTATCCAAAAGCTGGTGAGAATACTCTAAATGGCTTTTACATACTCAGGTTTAGAATGCCTTAGGGTTTCAATAAAAAAAAATAGTGTTTTTGTGGGAAAGCAGACTACAGACTATGAGTTCAAGGTGGGAAATGGCTTGGGAACAGAGTCAAGAAGAGGTCCCATTAACTAAGTGTGTATCTGACATTCACATTCACAAACTGTAGCCAGAGAGCATAGGAACAGTCATGAGATTGCCTGAGAGTGGGCCAGGCATTCTGAAGGAAGACAGGGTAAGAAATCAGCCTGCCGGAGGGTGAGTGAGGAACGTTGCCAGTAACTCACTTAGCAAAAACACTCTCACATAGTGAGGTGCAGGCCACTCTTTAAAGCCAAGGTTGATCTTCAGGATTAAAGGAGGGTTTTAAAAAACAGGCGTGATGGTCTGAGTTTGTAGTTCTTACTCTAGATAGGAAGACACAGGGTGGTGCTTGGGGCTCCGTGGAGAAGTAGTCCAGCCTATTTAGCAAGTAGAGGCCAAAGAGATACTGTCCCCAAACAAAACTGAAAACACCAAGTGGGTGACTTAGGAGAAACCCGTTGTTCCCTGGCCTCTATAGACAAGCAGAGAAGTATACACATGTATATGTAAAGAATATGTATGGTATAATATCCAAATAAATATTATATTTTGTTATATATGTAAAATATAACATATATCTCTTTCATTTGTTTTTTTTTATTTATTCTATTAGGGACATGGAATCCAGATCATAGAATGCCCCCAGACCTTAGCACTACTGACTCCATGATGGAAGTATCATTCAGGCTGTAAAAGTCAGTACATAGGCAGCACCACCTGCCAAAACTGAAAACAAAGACTTGATGTCTCCAAGTCCATAGTTCTGGGACAGTCTCTAGATGTACTAATTTTGATTTTTGGGTTTTGCAGTTATGCCTCTGGCTAACTGTTCTTGGTAACAGAGTTATGTCAACCTACAATGTGGGTTTGTGTGTGTGTGTGTGTGTGTGTGTGTGTGTGTGTGTGTGTGCTTAAAAGCACACTCTGAGAAAGACTGAGTACTACACTGGGATCTGAGGGCCCAGTGCAGACACTGGCTGGCTAATAAAGACTTTCCATTAGCTTAAACCCAAGTGTGAGTAGTCTCCTCTGGTGAGTAGCCCACAGCAAGGACTAGGCAGGAAGAAAGCACATCAGCTGGAGATGGCCAGCATCCACCCTTCTCCTTCATTCTGGATCAGTGCTGCTGCTCTATCCTTTAGCTAATGACCCCTCAAGGCTTTGGCTTTTCCAACATGCATTTATTGAGAGTAGCATACCAGGTCACCTGCCCTAGGTGGTCACTCAGTCTTTGACTTAGTATGCCTGGCTTCTCTGTTTGGAGGATTCAGATCGTTTCCATCTTAAATAACCAGATGGAGCCGGTTCCTTTTTATCCAGAAATAACTCGACAGGAGAGCCCAGTTGCTTTAATCTCTCCTATGCTGCTCGGTATCGGAATGTTTGTTGCAAAGAGGTCAGCAGCACTGAATTCGTTCGTGGTTTTTCCCACATCCCGGAATTTACTACAAGACTTCACTGCCTGCGGTCTGAACCTGAGGTTTCCCCAGTCTCCCCAATGGAGAATCCCAGATAGGAACTGAAAGTTCCGTTTTTAGGGTGCGATTTAGCAAGCATTTTAGCAGTACAGAGATCAATAGGAATGGAGTAACTATTTTGGAATGTTAATTCCCTGTGCGGGTAGTCAGACAGAACGGATTTGCGCTGTCTAACACAGACCGATGAAACCAGAATATCTATGTATTCATACCTTCCCACGGACAGGGACAGAAGTCAACACGTGAGGAACTCTTCCCTCATCTCCCAAAGAAACGAACTATCCCGCTACAATGTCCTGTTCAAACTCACTGTGCCAAAGAGCCACTCCTCCGCAGAATCTCTGTAGTTTTGAGAAGCCAGCAGAAGACAACCCGAGAGGCAATTCAACGTCTTTCGGGATGAAACTTTCCCGGGACAACCAGAGAAAGTTTGTAAGGTCCTTGGCGGCTGCTCAAGCACAGGTTTCCTAACTTTGGAGATTTACTGGATTAACAGCAGAGAAGGGCGTTGAAATTAGGGCCCCGCAGACAGAGCCTTCGGGGACCATGGCCACAAGGGTCCTGACAGCCTGGCGGTACAGCCGTTTGAGTTTAGAGTGGTGCAGTGGCTTCTGACGTTCTAGCAGCTGTGCGTCACGCGTCACACGTCGCGCTCTATCGAAGGCTCTTTTGTTCGTGTCTCCTGTGGTTGTTGCCCCAGCAAGGCCACCAGCTAGGAACCCGGAGCTCTGAGGGTCGGTCGGTCCCTCGTGAACAGGATCAACAAAGTCTTTTCACCAAGAGGGGCGGAAGAACAAGCGACTGGGTATGTGGAGGCTGATGCTCTGCTTTGGCCTCAGCGGTTACGGGCTCCGAGGTCGCGGGCCACTTCCCAGTCCCAGATATTCCGTGTCACCCTAGCTCCTGGTTGCGGAGAGGCGAGGGGCTGTTTCAGAAGTCAGGATGAGGACCATCGCAGCCTCCGGGTCAGAGGACACTAGGCATCAGGCCCTGCAGTGGTCAGCGCCAACTCCATGCAGCCTGGTGGGTGTTGTTGCTTCTGCTTGTTTCGTGAGTTGCCAAGTCTTGCCGAGGCTCGGACCAAAACCGCCTCGAATCTCAGGTTGTCCACTTCTCGGAGACTTCCTTAAAGGAGGACGGAATGAACACGGGAGCCCCTCCTCGAATTCAGACGCCGAGGACAGGACAGCGGCCTCTCGACTCTTCGGGTTCCCGCTGAGACAGCTAGGAACCGCCGGAAGAGCAGGCGTCCCCCAAACTCCCAGAACTGTGCCGACGGCAAACCCAAGTTGGAACTGAGCAGAGTTTGGCATCACTGAGACCTAAGACAAGAGAGACGACTCCGTCCTGTGACCAGCCTGGGGTGGGGGTGGGGGTGGGGGCGGCGGGGCGCTGGTCCTGTACAAACTCCTCACACAGGACTCCGCGGTCCCCTACTGTGGCCAGAGGAACAAAGCCCCGCCGCCGCGAAGAAGAATATCTTCGGGTCACGAACACCAGGCCTCTGGAGTTCCCGCATCTACAAGACTAGAGCGAAGCCTTAGTGACCCAGTAGAGACGCGCGCGACTCGGCTGAGGCCTGCCACCGACAGCGTTTTCCCAAAGTTTTTGTCGAATTGATTGCAAAATTCGGTGAAACTAGGAAGGCTGTCAAACTGTCACTTGGAGGCAACAGGGAGAACTCGCAGGAAGCGAACTCCGTGAGGACTAGAGGGCGGCTGGCAGTCTGGGCGGCCACTGAGCGAGTGGACTGAGCTATCCAGGGCCAGTGTCTTCGGGTCAAGAATCATTGCAAGGTGATATTACTTGCCCTCGTACACTATTTTCTTTCAATGCTTAGAGAAGTTTTCAATTTAGGACAACACGAGTTTTGTTTTGTTTTTAACGTTTCCCAGCTTCAAGAAAGTAAAACAAAAAATGTTAAAAAGCCCGAAAACCCAAAGCAAACAAAACAAAACAAAACAAAACCCCCAAACAACCTCAATTGGCAATTATATCTTTTCTCGTATGTAGGGGTCGCCTATAGAATACTACGTAGCTCGGAGTTTAGCTCAGTTGGTTAGAGTGTGGTGTTAATAGCATGAAGTCCTGTGTTTTATCCTCCTGCGGCCCAGGTAAAGCTTCACTTTTAGAAGAAAGTCTTCAATTTACCTCTCCCGGAAGCTGTTTAGATAAACCACCTTACAGAAAATGGAACTCAAAGTGCTCTGTAGTCCTCACTTCCGCAACTGGCGGGCAACTTGCGGTCTCATCAAGTGTTCTGGGCTAGTCTATGGTGCAAGAAAGCTGGCTCGGCAATCACTGGATTGTGACATTTACATTCCTTTCATTGTCAATCTTAGAACAGTGTGAGGTTCAAGACTGTTTTCAGAAAACCTTAAAATGGAAACAAACAAACTGCAAAGAATGCATTGAGAAGTGCCATTTTGTAGGAAGCCCCCTCTGTAGAGGCATTAGTAGGTAGATATGCAGTTGGCCGGTTAGCTCAGTTGGTTAGAGCGTGGTGCTAATAACGCCAAGGTCGCGGGTTCGATCCCCGTACGGGCCAGGCTGAATTTTAATTCAACAAAATGGAAACAGCCATACCAAAGATCTATATTTAAGCATATAATACTTTCAAAGAACTCCATCTTTATGGACCCAAGCTCCCTTATGTGTTTTGTTTCTGTGGTTCTGGTGTCCTGAAAGCACAGGTGGAGGGAGTCGAGTTCTAGCAGGAATCCATTCTGGAAGCAGAGGGCAACGACGGAAAACCTGAGCCTTTCTTTCTCCACCTCACGTTTCCTACAGCCTCGCTTCTGTCCAGCCACACTGACTCTTCACTCTGACTTCCCGCGTGGATCAGAAGCCTGGGAACTCCTGTTTGTTTCCTGCCTTCTGCTGCTCTAGAGACAGTGACTTGAGCAATGCCGGGTTCAGAAACCCAAGCCATTCGTCAGTGTCCAACAGCTCAGTGAGGTCCAAAGCATGTTCTGGCAGAGATCTTTCCTGACACTTTTCTCCATCTGAGCTTTGTCCCTCCCAGCACTCCCAGGGAGCCTGGCAGAGATCTGTGTTGTGGTATTTACGTGAACTTCCCCCACGCCATTACACACTGGTTATGACCATGCAACTCAGCCGCATTCCAGATTTTGAAAGCTCTACACAGGGCATTTGTGTCCCAAAGAGGGACCGAAGTCTGTAAGGAGACCTTATTCAGGGGTCCCCCACATCACTGTGGCAAAAGTTGGAGGATGTGGGCATCGATCCCACTGCCACTCGCATGCTAAGCGAGCGCTCTACCATTTGAGCTAATCCCCCAGGTTCGTTGCACTGGTCCTATGTTTCTGTATGTGTGCCCAACGCATCAACTCGTATTGGGACCTGGAAAGTATGACAGCCAAAGTCAGGATTCTCAAAGTCGAGAAGTTGAAAACCTGAAAGTTTAAGGAGCGCTGAACTGCGAATCTGAAAAGAGAAAGAGAAAGTGAGGAAAAAAGGAAAGAATGTAGTGTTCTTTTCCGCCCGGTTTCGAGCCAGGGACCTCTAGCGTGTTAGGCGAGCGTGATAACCACTACACTACGGAAACATATCAGAACTCATTTGTACTTGGTTTATTAGAAAAATACGCAGCTATCTCGCCTGTCAAATAGTTGCATGATGGATGGCATTCCTTGTCTATATTTGTAGCGTGACTTAGCTAAATCAGAATAACTAAGGTGGCTGCCCCTCCATCCCAAGCCTTTGGTGACCCCACTCTGCCAGTGCCACCTAAACAGTCAGATTTCACAGTGTAAGTGAAGTCCTGTGAAATTTGTCCCTCGGTGGCTGGTTCTACTCACTTAATACCAACCTCAGCTTCGTTGGTTTCGAGGGACACAGACGCTTTATAATATTAATCCTCCCGTGAATAATCCTTCCGGGAATTATCCTTCTCTGCATATGAAGGAGTGGGCATCTCAGAAGACAGGCATCTGTTCCTGTGAACAAGCAAATGTCTGAGAATTCCTTGAGGTCACCACAGTGACGATGTGCCCTCTACAGGGAAGCCTCTGTGGCTCTGTTTTCAATTTCTAAAGAATTATCATGCTAGACCTGGCTTTGACTCTCAGCACTCACATGGCGCCTCGTCAACATTTTGAACTGCAGTACTAGGGCATCTGCCGCCCTCTTTTGACCACATCGGGCACTGCATGCAAATGCCCATAACACACATAATTGATAGTCTTTCCTTGGATGCTCTCAGCCTTCCCTTTGTGTCAGTCGATGATATATGTAAACCTTTATTCCCAGGGACTCCCAATGTCCACACTGGGCTGAATGAAATACAGAAGCCCCTACTCCCTTCGCCACCCTAGGGACCTTGCCTCTTGCCGGAGTCCAGAGTCCCCTTAGCTCTTTTCCACTGCTCCTGAGCCTTTCCTCATAGCCCGTCTCCATTCCTTTGTGTCACCTACCCACCCGCAGAAACCCTCTCCACTAGGAAACACACAGCTACCACACGTGCCTAGGATCCAGAGTGGGCAACAGCGACCAAAGACCAGAATATCCATCCAACTGGGACCAGATCAGCTGTCTACCCCAAGAAACACCTCAAATATCATATAACTCCATTGCCTACATGGACAGGCAAGATTGCATGTCTCCTGGAGAAGCCAATAACCCTTATTGCAATAGATTTTGTTTTGTTTTTTCGAGACAGGGTTTCTCTGTTTTGTTTTGGTATTGCAATAGATTTAGGAAATGCAATAAAGTTGAAAATAAGACGGTGTGGACAGCATGGTGATTGGCCACCACTGTTGCTTGACAAAGTTCCAGCATTTAGACATTGCAGACCACACTTATCCAGTAAAAGATTTTACTTTAATGTTCAATGACTCTCGCTCTATGTTATGGGAGTTCGTTATGCCTCTTCCCTTGGGAAATTTTGTGGAGGCTTTGGCGAAAGCTGAAAATGTTTACAATGGCAGCCTCTCTAAGCAAAATAATCTTTGGGAAAATTCCCCACCACCATGGAACAATATGGGGTGATGACTCTGCATACAGGAATCCCTGTTTTGTCCCTCTGATTACACCAAGAATAGGAAAGTTAGAGATTTCCAGTAGGCACTCCTGTCCCCAAGGATGAAGTGTGCCATTCCGGTCTAGAGCCTGAGATCATTAAAGGCAAGAGTTAGGTCAATAAGTATAGAAGAATCAGAATGGTATGGTTTAATGGGAAAAGATTAAGACACCAGGGCCTTCCCATTGGAGAGTGTATGAGGGAAACAGGCCCAAATAGAACGCAAAGACTCAAAGGAAGGAAATCAGGGAATAGCCAAGAGCTTATACTGAGTCATACCCTTGAGGACTTAAAATTGTTAGTAAATTGTAGTGGAGTGTCTGGTCTCCAGAGGAAGTCCTCCCCCCTCCCCCAGGTCAAGCATTTGAATAAGGCTTCTATTCCCTCAGGAAAGTTACTGCTTGATAAAAGCAGTCATTCTCTTCATCTCTGGCAGAAGGAAGTGGTGACCGTTCCAGTAGTGTAAGAGGGCTCCTGGTAGATTCAGAGAACAACAGGCATTTGGATACTAGCTGCTTTGTTTTTGTCGTATTAGGACAAGTTGTATTTCTCCAGAAAAATACACTGGCATA